GACTGATAGACAAGCCCCACGTACATGCACAGGGCTTCTGAACAGATTTTTGTGTTTCCACTTTTCAGTATAATATTACATAATATTTCATTTATATTATGGAAGGGTAGAAGGTTTGTCTGTTCTATCCCACTAATGCATTCCCAGTACTTAGAATAGTGCCAAGTATACATTAGATACTCTGTAAATATCTGATGAATGAATTAAGTATATTTAAAATCTGTGGACTCTCATGAAGACTGAAGAACAACAAAAATGTAATCTTAGCCCTGCTGTAGCTCAGTGGATTGAGCACGGGCCTGCAAACCAAAAGATTCCGGTTCGGTTCCCCATCAGGGCACATGCCTGGGTTGTAGGCCAGTTCCCAGCAGGGGATGCACCAGAAACAACCATACATTGATATTTCTCTCCTTCTCTCCTTCCCTTCACTTCTAAAAATAAATAAATAAATAAATAATTTAAACGTAATCTTTATATTTGTAGAGTGTCACTTCCAGTCAGTTATTGACAAAGTATGTCTCCTTAACATCACACTTTGCAGCTAAATTCCACTTCATTGCACCTCAATTTTAAACATAAAATTTACAATAGTCAATTTCTTTAAATGGCTGATATTAATTTTTGTTCTGTTAGGGGAAATAGGGGGGTTATATCACTTTATATTAATTTGCATCTATTCTTAAATGAAAGCACAAGAGGTCTTCATTTAGAAAATGAGCCAGACTACAGAAGCCAGGAGAAACAAGCTAGATGGGCCCTCTAGTGGCCTTGAAGAGCTAGTAACACTCCCGAAATAGCTGACATTCCTAAGGAAACAAGTAATACATCCTTATCTGTGGAATACAAAGAACAAAATAAATGAACAAATGAAATAGAAACAGACTCATAGATACAGCTGGGCCAAGTGAAAATGGTGAAGGGATTAAGAAGTAATTACAAAATAACCACAAGGACGTAAAATACAGCAGAAAATTCAGTGAATAATAGTGTAATGACTATGTATGGTGCCAGGTGGGTACTGAAAATATCAGGGGAACACTTTATAAAGTATATGATTATCTAGCCACTATGTTGTACCCCTGGGACTAATATAAAATAATATTGAATGTAAACAGCAATTGAAAAAAAACGTTAAAAAAGCAAACCACCAATAAGCACAGTCCTTCCAAAGCTATAGACTGGGGAAAAGACACACCTGGCTGCAGATACTGAAGTAACCTCTCCACATGACTACACAGTAATCAGGGGGAGAAAAGAAAATAGCAGCAAGTATCACAGGTTGAGATGTGAAACATCACTTGATGGCAATAACCGAGGAACTACGTTTCCACCCTCCCTCCTAACCGCCTCTGCTCATCCCCCATCTCCTCAACTGGGCCTGCACATGCGCAGAGGGTCCCACATGCATGCTATGCGCCGCAGGGGCTGCTGTGCCCAACACCCGCTCAGTCTGGGGCAAGAGTGCTAAGGTTTCACGTCATCTGTATAAATATTTAGAAGTTATAGTCAAGTTCACAAACTGTTCAATAAAATGTTTTTATCTTCCTACTATGCTTCCATGGTAACAAATTTTTTTAAAAGTTTGGGTAAAGCTATAATTTTTTTATGACTGGATATAAACAAAATACCACAGGCAACTAAATGTAAATATTATCATATATCTGCGCATTCTGTGATGAACCAGAATTGTCTGGAGTCATATTCACAGTGCCATCCCTAAGTCACGCATTGTGATCATTCTGTAACAATTGTTTTTTCCTACATTTTTAGTAAAATGAAGAATCATGCCATTGCAATCTAAATTAATCACACAATTTGTGTTTTATTGACAGAAATTTCAAATCAGATTGCTTTTTGTAAGTCACTCTTAGACAGTTTCTTATTATTTTCAGTTTGGAAAACTTCATTGTGTGGAAGCAGTAGCAACAGGAATTATCAAAGAAAACCTTAAGGCAATACTTGGAGTGAGAAATGGACCACAAATTTTACGTCATGCTCAGTCATTGTAATGGGTCACCTGGATTATCTCTGTCATGGACAGTATTTTAATTTTATTACTAAAATCACTATCATTTATATTATAATACCTACTATCTCTTAAAGTGATATCTAGGCCCATATGATATTTCTTAAGTTCTATTTCTTTCCCTTTTTAGTGCAATACAAAGAGAAAACTGAAAATAACAGTATTTTGCTCAATTTGTTTAAATCTCTCTTCATTCAAAATTATACCTTCAACCAAAATAGCCAGAAGATAGCCCCCATAAAGAACTAGGGTCAGGGCTCAGTCTTCAGGCCCAGCAGGAGGTGATCATTCTGGCAGCCACCCCTCTGCCTTCCGCTGGGCTTCTTATTCCTGGAGGTATGTTTCCAGAATCCAAGCTCCCTTCCACCTCTCATTACTAGTGGTTTACCTACTACTATCTGTACGATTCCACAGTTGCTTCTGTTCAGATTAAGGAAGTCGTGCCGCTGGCCTCCAGCCCTGATGTCAGAAATCACAGTGCCATTTGGTTTCCCGTTCCCTTGTACATGACCGCTTGATTATTCTCAGAGCTTTTAGAACATTCTTCTCTCAGATATTTACATGCCTGGCTCTTCTTCTTCATTATCCAGTTCCCCACCTGTCTCTTAAGGGAACTGTCCTGATCAGTCCATCAAAGAAGATCCTACGTGTCACTCCCATGTCATCAAGTTTTATTGTCATCAGAGTATTGATTGCCGCCTGATATTTTCTTGTGTTAGTCTTTTCTATACTGTCTCTTTCTGCTGAATAAACTAGAAACTCCACAAGAATGTGTTTGCTTCTGAGGCCCCAGTGCCTAGGACAGTGAGCAGCTATCAATAAATGTTTATGGACTCAGAGAACAAAAGCCTGCCAATTAGCACTTACTACTACTACAGCAAGAACGGCCTTTTGATTGATCTTCCTAAACTATGTAAAACAGATTCATGTCTGGGACACCAATGTTGTCACAGTGCTTATATTTACTTCAGACGTGTCTTCTGGCCACAGTGAATCATAAAGCTTTAAAAATAAAATCATACTGGAAATATTGAGGGGAATAGTATGTAAAGTATATGATTGTCTACCAACTAGGCTGGACACCTGAAACCAATACAAAATAAAATTGAAAGACAAATAAAGAATTTTTTTAAATGAGACAAAAACCTAAAATCAAACTTCTCGGCAGTCCAAATTATTTGTCCTCAGATAGCAATGCCCTTGGGCCAGTTAGTCTTCTTCCCTATAAAAAATTAAAGTGTATTAAGTTAAGAGTTAATGTCGTCATCTTGATTCTAGCAGAGCAATGATATGAAGAATGAAATTCGGCAAGGTGTGTGTAAGAGCACAGCCTTCGGCAGCAGGGGGCCTCGGTCCTAATCTAGACTTTCCCATTTAGGGTCCGAGTGTCCTTGGGTTTGTTATTTAACCCTCTCTGAACCACAGCCCCCTAATTATAGCACTACTTGTCTCTTTGGCTATTATTAGGATCAAATGAGATCATTCATCTAAATTTTAGGTGTAGTCCTTGAGCATTTAATAAATATTAGCTCTAATTATTAGAAGAAATTATCTATTTGAACATTTTTATATTCTTTGCAAAATCTTAGCTGAAAGTATCATTCATTACAGTGCATGGAATAATTTTCTGTCTCAACTTAGTGCAAACACAAATTGCCTCTTCAAAAGCACTTGGATTTTTTTCCTTAATCAATGGAAGAAGTAGATGTCAATCATGTTTTCTTTCCAGAAGGAAATTCACATCATCTTCCATAATGATCTTTTCCAGATACCTTTTTTCCTACCATTTTTTCCCCTTGGCTGGTTTTCCTTTTGGTTTTACTTTTAAATGTCCTCTTTTATATTGCTTTTAACATTGTAGCTTGTGACTCTGTCATTTATGAGCTGAGTGACCCTGGTGAGGTTAATTATCATCTAGAGCTCTACTTTCTTAATCTGTCAAATGGGAATTGTTGTGGACACCATTGACACTGTTATCCTAGCATCCTTTTTAATACTCACTGTTCTGCATCCATATTCCCTTGGGGCCATATAAGGGATCCAAACCTCTAAGGGCTTAGATCAGTCTAGAAGTAGACATCTAATTCAATCTGGACCAAGAAGACCCTTGCCCAGAATTCTGGATCTAAGACTGAAAGAGTCAGGTCAATTTACTAGCTGAAATTATAAGACATAAACCTCAGTAGTTGCTAGTGTCCACATTACCCACTTATGTTGCAGTTGGTCCGAGGTGACGAAAAGAATGCTGGGAGGAGAAGAAGAAAGGGTCCTACTGGTTCTGATGGTCCCTAGACTGTTGCTCTTCCTGTAGCTTGGCTGTTCTCTTAGATATCCAACTACCTTTCCAATAAATTCTTCTTTTTGCACACATAATATGAATTTGATTTCCATCACTAGAAACTGAAATATTTCTAACACTAAGAAAACAGACCCTACTTTGAATAGTTGATGTAAAAAGTAAATGAGATAAGATATTTAAGTGCCTAGCATGTAATCTGGCATATAATACTTGTTCAAGTAATGAGGCCTATGAACATTATTTAGAAGACAGGAATACGAATTCTAAGTTAATTAATTAATAAACATAACTTTGACAGCTTACAGATCTTCTTTCTTCTTACAGTTTAAAAATCGCACAAAGGGATTATTTGGTTTCTGATTGTGAAAGAGTTGCAAAATAAGAGAAATTCGCTGATTAATTTTGCTACAGGTTATCGTATAAATCTAAGTGACTCTTACATGGTTAAACAATCTCAGAGGATAGTAAAGCCTCAGATACAATAAACCACAATTTCTTGCTTAATTCACTAGGTTAGCATAAACATAGAAAGAGAAAGTAGGAAAAATGCATACTTACATTTTCCTTATCCACATACACAGGAGTAAGTCCGACCCATTTAAGGGTACAAAATACTGACTCGGCGATCTTCAGATAAAGGATCCAGTTAGTAAAAAGAAAATGGAATTACCATACCTGCAGAGACACCACACTGACATTGTCAAAATGGATGTGTCCATTAGGCTCCGTGACGGCTGGATTTGCATAGCATGTCACGCCGTTGATGGCCGGCAACGTTTTAGGTTGATGAGTTTTTTCTTGAGAAGGACCAAAGTCATCATTACTAAAGTGGGTATGATCATTCTACATGGGAACATTAAAAAGGCAAAAAGAAGTTATAAGAAGGAAAAGCTATGGCTCATACAGACAAGTAAAACAGAGTTTAGTGTTTATAAGAAAAAAACCTTATGCCTATTCTGTGTGTACTGTAATCTTTTTAGATTTACAATTTTTTTCTTCCTTTAATTGTATCCTTATTTGTCAGAGTCTATTGTAACTCTTTGTTTTTGTTAGGGTACATGTAACTTCTTATTTTGTTGAATAGGAATGGAATACATCTGTTATTCAATGTTAAATTGTTAGTACTTACTCCAAATTCTACAGTATAAATGTAGTGTTTCTCTTGATCAAATATACTTAATGTATTGACTTTTCTTTGCACTTACATTCACAAATCTAACATATTAACAATCCATGGAATCTTTTATTTGCTTTTATAAAGTAGCTTTGTTGAGTAAAATATCAAAAGGTTTCAATAAAGTCTATTTACCTCACCATATGTCTTTAATAACATCTTAAGTACTCTTTCAAAAAAGAAAAGTAGATAAAAGCCACCAAACACAGCAACTGCCTTTTCAACATAGTTGTCAACTTTGGGATTAAATCCAAATGCCTGGAGAGGGGAAAAAAAGGAAATTCAGTTAGAACCAAGTAATATAACATCATTTCTAGAAAATAATGCCAAAATTCCTCAGTATCCAATTTTCACTGAAGTTCTACATCCATCTTTACATCCAGATAATACTGGGAACTTAGCTGCCAAAATTACAAAACAAAAACTCTGAAAGTCGAGTAAGCCAGCCCTAAGAGATGTCTTAGAAACCTCCTAACTAGACAGTATCTAGTAAACAAAACTGTGAATATCTTATATTGTTTCTTAGTTCTAACATCTGCAGCAATAAATGCCTTGAGAGAGGAAATTTTAGTAGCAAAGAAGCAACAATAAATGCCTCATTTGCAAGATAATATTAGATCTAGGTAATGAAGATAAATGAGACTATTTACTTTCTCCAAAAGTAATATATGTGTCTACTGTACCCAGAGTCAAATTTTTAAAGCAAATATGGCAAGCCACCTGGATTTCTCTTTTCCCAAGAGGAATCCTCTGGAACCCAGTGAATCCTGATAAGTCCTAACGAGATTAAATAAATGAAAAACTGGCCTGAGAATTAAAAGGAGAAGACTTCAGATACCAGGTGTGTGCACACACACACAAATCGGTGAGAACGACAGTTCACTGCTCAGAGGACAGAGGACAAGATCTGGAGTTTGAAATTATAAAGAGTAAAGAAGTCCCTAACAGGCAAGAAACACAAACTTAAAATAAGTAAAATAAGAGGAGAAAGCTTTACACCATTCCAGATGTGGTGAATCTTCCCTCTGAACAGCAACCTAGGATAGAGAATGCCCGGTTCTGGTTCTACGCCTGCCCCTGTGTTGTAGACCGCTCTGCCTAGTTTTAAGAATTGTATCTCGACCCCTTGTGGCTAAGGGCGAGGGACGACCTCTGGAATGGGAGCCGCAGGAGACAAAGCCTGTCTCTGGTAGCAAACGCTGCCTCAGTTTCCTCTCCCAGCCCCCAAAGCTTGGTCAGAAGTCAGTGACGAGTAAGACACCTCACAGCCAGGGGCAACTTAAGCCAGACTCGATCACTTGGGAGGCCTTCATGGAAGGACTCGAGGGGCTGCAACAAAGAGCAATGAACTCTCACCCCCCAGCTTTGACAAAGCCCAAGTCCCCGTGTCTCCTGGGAGAAGCGCTTCCTGGCTCTAATCCCCTTAAGCCTGAATACCTGTCGGGGAGAGGTGCAACTCCTCACCTTGCTAGAGCATGTCCCGGGGGAAAATCTGGCATCACATAGACTTGCTGATAAACCTGTGACATCTGCTTTGCTAAGAGTGCTTTCACTCATATGATAAGGGTCTGAGAGGAAATGATTATGTCTCCCAAAGTTTCCGCAACTCTCTTCCTGACAGACACTGACTCAGACTCTGAAGCCCTCAGATCTCTTTGAAATGTTATATACTGTTTGATCCTTGCTGCCCTGTATTTCTGTGTCTTACAACCCAATAAAAGGCTATGGAGGAAGGCACTTGGGACCTTTTTCTTCCCGGAGAAACTGGCTGCAGCTGGCCTTTGTCTCCCCTGAGAAACTGGCCACAGCCCACTCCTCCTCCCCTAAGCAGAGCTCAGCAGGTCTCAGCCATATTCATTCTCGTGTCCACGGCACTGGGGGGGGTGAGGGAGGAGAACTTGAAACTACTCTCTCGAGTCCCCCCCACACCCCTGGGCGGAGCTCAGGGCCCATCTTCATTAGAGTGACTTTTGTATGCTTTTTCATTCAGTGCAAAAAAGGGAACAAATTTATACTTTATGTATGTAACACAGAGGCTATGAAAAATGAATTTTACCGAAAAAAGAAATAACTATGTATGGAAATTTATCTATCTATGGTAATACTACAAAGACAAATTCTTCAGTGCTTATATAATTCTCTGATCACATCTATAACCCCTTAATTATCACAGACAGGCAAAAGAAAATCCACAAATGCTGTTGAGGAAGTTTCTTATTTTCCTAAGAAATGTCTTATGTACTACTAAAAATGGAAAACCTCAAAATCATAAATGTGAATCTCCAGTCTACACACAGCATTAGTTTTTTAAATTTTATTTCACCCAAATGAGTTGATCAGATGAGTTAATACATACACATATAATATTATAGTAATGTTACATGCATAACATATAAAAATTTCTAATCAGAAAATCTGTAATGCCATTCTAGTTTTATTCCTAGCTCATTGTGTGGCTAATGTAATCCCCCGGATTTTTTTTTTCAGCTCTACAGTTGAGATGGCCTTTCTAGTTCCTTTCTAGATACAAAGATAACAACAACAATAATAAATCTATGACTCTAAAAAGTTATACCCTCAATTTCATATTTAGTTTTCTTTTAGAAAACTAAAAGAAGCTTTAGATATAATTTTCTCAAAGTTATAAGATGAGGGTAATACCCTGAACTGCTATTTTTCTCTTTGCTCAAGGCTCACTGCCTGCCTTTTGTGTACACACTGATGGTGAGGGGGCACGGAGCCCATGTGCGTGTTCTCCCAGATCCCCTTTGTGGGGGCCTCCCCTTTATTCTCCCTCTCTCCCCTCTCTTTCCTCTCAATTATTCTCCTTCCTCTTTCTCTCTCCCTTACATGGCCATAACATAGATTTAAAACAAAAGATATATTGTGTTTGTTGATCAACTGAATAGTACACTATGGTCAATGTCAGATCAATAATACATTTTATAAAAGGAGAAAAAAACTAATGTTTTTTTCATTGGCCCTCAATTGATCTTTCTCCAGAATAAAAATTTAAAAAATGAGAAGGTTTGTCAACCACACACTTATTGATCCTCTCATCTTCAATAGCTATAATAAATATGTAAGGAATTCTGTGGTATGTACCTTCAGCAAATTTGACATTGCATGCCCTTTAGAACTAAATAAATAAACAATAAAAGTAGGTAGAGAAGTGAAACTTTTCAAACACAAGACAGAATAAACGTTTTAAGGCCCCCAGAGGTGTCCCAGCGCTGTCTGGGCACGTTCTGGTGGCCAGCCTCCCGGAATATCCATCCTGCCTCTGACACGGACACTCCCTGAAGCCTGAGACAAGCCTCTTCATTTGCTGTGATTCGGCTCTCTTCTATACAGACCACTACCCACCAGACCATACAATTCTGTGAAAATGTTAGTGGTTTAAAATATACAAGTGCTAGAACATTTGAAAGAAACAATTATTCACAGAAACAGAAAGCTAACGCCCTTACCTCTGGAATCAGTTGGAAGATTGCATTTGAAAATAGAGTCCCAATAGCCAGCCCCACAAAATAGGTCAAAATCTTGGGGAAGTAAGATTTCTTTATCAATGGAGTCAAAATCAATCCGAGGAGAGATGCCAGATTAATAATTGTCACTGACAGGAATCCATATCCCCAAACTGTGAATCAGAAGGAAAGATGAAAGATTATTCAGAGCAAAGAAGTCAAATGAAGTCTTAATTCCACTCAAAATGAATTTCTTCTTTAAAAGCTTGAAATAGGTATTTGTTCTTTTAAACAAAGCATCTCAATTAAAACTATATAGCAAATTGGGACCACATAGCACAATAAATACTAATACAAATACTGTGTATGTTTCATCAGTCCTAAGCCATCATTACAGAATGAAAGAACTGTATTGCTTGCAGAGAATTTAAATATTATGTAGAACAGAGACAATCCGAGGTCCACTGGCTCCAAGCCACCCCGTTTTATCTATTGGTTCAGAGCCTAGTTAAAACTCAGTTTTTCAGAGGAATACAGAGGCAGTGTGAGTTTCAGGGAAAAGGTACGGTAAATGGGTGGTAGTGCATTCACTTCCACGTAACCATAGTTGTTGACATTGAGCTTGTAGTAATCACTTATCTGTAAGAACCTGTGGAGAGCAGCCTTCTTGGGGAAGACAGTACCTCAGTCCAGCTCAGCTTAAGACTGAGCTGGACTCAGCCCAGTACAGGGAGCCCTCGGGAAGGGAACACACGGGGGTAGAGAGAGCATCTGCATCGCACAACTCACCCTGTGGGGCCCAAGTTATGGCAAGAATATCCTGTACAGTAGAGACCCTGGGGACAGAAGGGAGTGGTGCATCTTTCACCTCTTTATACGGAGGGCCTGGAACCCAACAGGTGTTTAATAAATGTTGCTTAGGATGAAGTGGGTGAATGTCATCCTAAGCTCTACAACTAATGGCGTGTGTGACCTATTGCCTTTGGGCCTCAATTTTCCCCAGTTATCCTAAAGGGGCTGGTTTTTTAAAGACACAGTGGGAATGTAAGTGGAATGTATTGTGAGTGCAGGACAGTCGCGATGGCAGTGCAGGCTGACGTACAAAGGGCCCTGAACTACGTGACGTGTGGCTTTGCCTGTGGCACCCACACACTGGGTACAAAGACAATGTCAAAGATTAGAAAGCTGGCTCCACATTGCCGCTTCTTTGTCCAGAAACCATTTTTAAATGGCAGGCCACTTTTGTCATGGACATGATCAGCTAAGTACCAGAGAAACGCTTAGTGAGTGTTTGCCACGCCCCAGCCACTGTGCTGAGTCAACACATATTCATTCACTTGATCCTCACGAAACCCTGTAAGGTAAGAACTACTATCACCTCCTTCATGCAGCTGAGGAAACCAAAGCATGTGGAGTTCACATGAGCTGCCCACGTCATGCAGATAGCAAGTCCTGCAGATTTCAAACCTACACAGTCTACAGGACCCCCACGCCGGGGCCCATGTGTTTTACCATATGCTTCATTACTCCTGCAGAGGTTATTTGACTTTTAAAGAGTCCATGGGGCTCACAAAACTACAGAGTTTATAATATGCTTTATGACTACAAGACTGTCCACCATTATTTTAGTTCATCTGATTCTGTCTATAAATAAACAATCTTAGCAAATGTTTATGGTGTCTAGGATGGGAACCATGATTCCTGCCAACAAGCAGCTCAGATCTTTTGCTTGGGTAGCTGAGAAATGTGAGGACACGCCCATACACAAAGTAATATAAGGCAGCCCATGCTGAGTACCAAGTGAAAAGAACAAATAATAAATGTTACTGCATTACCACATGAATCATCACCAACGAACCATTTTACCTTCTCCACTTTCTATCAGTCCAAGACTCCTGACCAGGCCCTGCAAAGTCATCTCACTGTACCTACAAACGTCCACCTCATTCCCACTTATTATCTTATCACCTAAAACAACACTACCTACTCTCCTCAGACTCTTCACATAGAGAAAGTTCTCGACCCTGCATCTTCCTCCACGATATATCTATGTGTAGCATCCCTTGACATGAATAGCCTTCTATTCCATCACTAGCCTACCTGCACGCATTCATTCAACCAATATTTATAACCTCATTGTGTAGACAAGATACATAGAAGTTGAAACTAAAATAAAAACACAAAGAAGTTTTTGAGTACCAAAGAGAGGCAAAGCCACATACACATATTCAACTTATCACCTTCCCCTAAAAAATCCTGCTTCACTACCTTTGTTCACTATCTCCATAAATAGCAGAACTATTAGGATCAATTTCAATTGCTCTTTCTCTACCAGGCAACTCCATACATGATTGGTGACCAGATGCCACCAGTTCTACCTAAGATATCTCCTTGCTGCTTCTCCATCCTCATTACCTGTGCCTTGAGTTCAGGCCCTCACTATCTCTCACTCCCTCATCTGATGCATTATGATAGTTTTCTGTCTGGCCTTCCTCCCTGCAACTTGACATGGGCTTATTTTCCTAAAACACGACTCAGACCATCTCGGAGCCCTATGTGAAATTGCCCTACCTCACCTGACTCCCAGACAGCCTCCCCAGTGTATATACCCCCCTCTCAACGTGGCCTTTACGCAGACACAATATTTTCCAAAAACGGAATTGCCTGTACTTCTGGCTCTCTGTCTGGAAATCTTCTTCATGGCTCCCAGGCCAACTCAAAGGCCTCCTCTGTGAAGCTTCCCCAGCTCCTCTAGGTGGCAGTTCCTTGCTTGTCAGGCTTTCTATAGCTCTTTGATTAAAGATAATTAGGCCACTTACCATTTCTTCTATGCTACAGTAATTTTATCACGTATATTTGTCTATATCATATAAATTATGAGATCTTCAAGGAGGGGACTATGTTACATTCATCTTCGGTGACTAGAATGTGCTTAGCAAATAGCACCTGTTCCTTGACAAATGAATTAATGAAGTTCATATTTTAGGTGCATCCCTGAACTCTATCAAAAATACTAATTAATCTGCTTATTCAATTTTTCTAACTTTCCTTAATATTGTGCACATTTATCAGAACCACTTGAAGAACTTTGGGAGTGTGAATCATTGCTCTTCTGGACACACTGCTCGGTTTCCCCCTTCTCTCACTGTTAGGACATTATTCGGGGTGGGGGGGGGATCCAACACCCACTCAACCAGGGCACCAAAGAACAGGTTAGTGTAAAAGCATTCCTTGGACCCCCTCCACACACACAGGACTTCCTCTAATGGTCTGTTTCAGACTTTCTGCTTCTTAGTGAACTCAGAAATCTTTAATAAATTTTCAAGGAATGTTGGTAACAACAGTTAACATTGAATGCCAGCTGTGTTAAAATTCTTCTAAAAACCCCACCTATTTTAAGACATTTCATTCTCCTATTTCATAGATTCTTTATAGAAATAACAAGGAATAACGTAAAATTTGTTAACCTAGTTCCCAGAATCTAGTTAATGCTTCAATAAATGTCATATCATTATTTTTTAAATAGTAAGTAGACCATGTATAAACTTTAGTTCATTGAAGTCAGCTACACAGTGAAAGAACAGCAGACTGGGAGTTGGGGGCCTGGGCTTCACTCTTCCCTCAGGTATCGTACCCAGGGAGAGCCGCTTACTCTGGAGCTAAAGGCTTATGTCATTGCTTGTACTATGTAGCTGGACTGTGTGATGCTACAAATAAAATTCTATTATTCTTATCTATGACTTGAATTAAATAGCATTGTGTGATATCATCAAAAAATAAGGGAATTTTGGACCATTAAGCTATTGCTAAAACTTAATTTAGCCCCCAGAGAATTTAATTTACCATCCTTTTATTGCATTCATCAATATGAGTTTATAAAGCACCTGAAAGGCAATCTCAAATTCATGAAATGTGATGTCTCTGATCAATGAGATTGGTATCTGACCCCTGAAACATCAGCATGAATGTTTTCATGAAATCCTTCACTCCTTTGGATTACTTTAATTTGGATTTTTTCATTCCCTTGAATGAACTCAGAATTGACTCTTTACTAAATGAGCAGTTATATCAAGAGTCCAGTGCATTTCATTATTTGAAAAATATGTTTCTTTGTGGGAAAAGAATGGGCTTCCACGGGCCACAGAATAAGGTGAACTTTGAACATGCATAAGAAGAGTGAAGACACACTCTTCCCACCCTGTGCCAGGCACCGTCCTGGGCACCGGCATGTGTTAACTCATTTGATACCCTAAGAACTCTGTAAGGAAGGTACCATTTTTTGTAGATGAAGTAAGTGAAGCACAGAAACAATAAATTAGTTGCTCAACTTCACACAGCCTCAATGAAATACAATAATTAATATATTACACCAAAAAAGGCAATATATTGTCAAATTAAACATCCTATATTGGTAATAACAAGTACTCTACTGGTTTTGCTAATTCTCCAGAAATGTTTATATGTTTCCTCCACCCCATCCCACCCACTGTAGCCCCATTTCAATTCATAAGATAATGTGTACCCTAGGAGGTATCTTTCTCTTTGGGGGGGTCCCCTGTCCAAATATTTGGGGTCTCATCTTGTAAGATGGAACTGTTGATGTTTCCATTTCATGACTTTATAGTGTTGACCCTAGAATTCTCGAACTTTCTGTTTCCACTTCCCTGTTTTTACCTACTGGTTCCTGAGATAGAGTAAACCTGAGAATTGCAGTTAAGAACATGTTTGAATATTAGTAATTGACCTGCACAGAGAAGAGGATTGGCTTCTTCTGAAGTCTCACTTCCTGTACTCAGAATTATATGTGTTATATATGTTTTATGGAACAGACATATATATAGTGCTTACCAGATAGTACACATAGTACATGCCAGACAGCATTTTAAATGCTTTGTGAATATTAAGTTATTTAACCCTCACAGCAACCCTAGAAAAAAGGTACTATTTTAGATGAGAAGACTAAGGCAGAAAGACACAAGTAAAATCACGTGCCCGCCACAGCTAGAAAATTACAGAGCTGGGAGTGGAGTCCAGTGAGAAGATTTCAGAATCCATGCCTTTACTATGGACTCTGAATAGCATGGACACGTGCTTGGGGATGTGTAAGGCACAGCTAAATGCCTGTGTGCCTGGAGCTTAGTGAGCAAGAGGGAGGCCAGAAGGAGTGACATCCTGGGAGAGCCAGGGACCTTGTGGTGGACAGTACATTGATTAGATTTTAATTTGAATGTGGTATGAAGACATTGTAGGGTTCTAAAGAGGCGAACCCTACTGTCGGTCAATGTTAGTGTAAAAAGCATTTACTGAATGTACTTTTGAATGTAAAATGCAAACTGCATTCAAGTTAAACAGACTTGTAGAAATATAAACATACCCTCGGTTACTACATATTCTATTAAAAATATGTGCTTGAACAATTAGCTCTAAAATGATTGTTATTCACTAAATGGATAATTATACTGATAAAGTATACAGGGTGGTTTCCATTCCTTGTACATGCAAATACAGAAAATGAAAGAGAACATAGGTTCTGAAGCCAAGACAGCCTGGGTTCGAATCAGGCTCTATTTTGTACAAGTTGTGTACTCCTGAGCAAAGGACTTTAAGTCTGTGTGCCTCAGTTTCCTTAGCTATAAAGTAGGAACAACAGATCCTAAATTATATAGTTGTATGAAGATTATATTAGTCGACAGGCATAAAGCACTTAGAACAGTACCTGCAACATAGTCAGTGCTACCTAAGAGTTGAGTGTTATCATTACTTCTGTCATTGTTATTGTTATTCCTGTTATTCACATGAAGAGGTTGAAGTATATACAAAAGGAATCATATATATATGTATATCATATATACAAAAGGATCCAAAAGTATGTAAAACAAGGCTTTGTCAAGGCTTCCCTTCTATTCTTCTCTATTATGCTTATGTTAGGTATGCTCACTCAGACCAGAGGCTTCAACTGCCATCTTTAAAATCAATGACATATCTCCAACCTGTTCTCTGAGCTCCAAATGCATGCATGCATGTCACTGCCTACCTGACATCCCCTGCTGGTCCATATCAATATCTCAGGCTGACCAAGTCAAAAACTCATTGTCTTGCTCCTCGCCACTGGCTTCCTCTAACAACAATGGCCCCTCCCCAGTCATCTCCACCCCAGGAAATGGCACAGCTATCTATCCTCCTCCAAGGACTCAAACCTTGATTCATCTTTCCCTCCCCCACATCCAAACTAGAGGCAAACCATGTTAGCATGGCTTCTGAAATCCATCCTGAATCTCATCACTTCTCCTCACTCCCACTTCCCCCACCTGAGCCTGAGTCCCATCATCCTGAATGCCAAGAGCCTCCTGACCCACCAATCTCCTAATCTCCATGCTTCTACTCTTCCTCCATTACTATTTATCGTTCATACTGCGAGTAGAATCATCTTCTATGCATCTAGATAAAACTATGTCACTCTCCTCTTTAGAACCCTACAATGTCTTCATACCACTTTCAAAATAAAATCCAATCAATGTACTGTCTACCACAAGGCCCCTGACTCTCCCAAGACGTCACTCCTTCTGGTCTTTCTCTTGCTCACTATGCTCCAGGCACACAGGCATTTAGCTGTGCCTTACACATCCCCAACCAAGCACGTGTCCACACTAATGCTGATAGTTCCCCCAAGCTCGAGCGCTCTTCCCCCAGAGACAATCTTGCTGTGGTCCTTTCCCCCATCCTTAGTCAGGTCTCTGTTCAAGTGTAATCTCATCAGAAAGGCCTCCCTGTCTTCATCTGAATACACACTCACCCACCTTCTCCTTCTATTGTAACCTACTTCATTTTCTTCAAAACATTTATCCCTCTGAAGTCCTATTACTTATTTGCTTGTGTGTATAAATGTTTATTACATTACTTCTCCACTACATCCCAAACCCTAATAGGGCAGGAAATTTTCCTTCTTGCTCACAACTGAATCTTCAGTACATATGAACAAATATATAATTACAATATCCACATGGTGACAATTTGAGAATAGCAAGAAATGGCACATAGGCAGCAAAAAGACCTCCTGAACAATTCATTGGTTTATCTCATTTGTGGGAAAAACTCTTCTTGTTTAAGTATGTGTACTATTTTATATAGTAAATGGGTACTTCTTTCCTTATATTTAAAAAAATTTTTGCAGCATCTATGGCAATGCATTATGGGCACTTAAAACAGTCACTGGTGTTTTCTTTCATTTATGAAAATTACAGTGATAATAATTCAGTGCCTTAAGATTTAATCTAGAGACACACTACTTTTATTAACAACCCTTTACCGACACTTATAGATAAACTAATAGGTTTTTGAATAATATTATAAGCACAATGTAATGGAAATTAACTGATCGATTTTAAACCAGATAGTTAATATGTAATCCCATGTGCACAGCATAAAACATGTGTTTAAAATTAGGAATTGGGTTCTATAAAGTTATTAAGTGGTACCAAGTGTAATTTTGACTCCACATATAGGGAGCACAACTTAAGAAGCTTAAATGAGTTCTAATTATTCTTATTTTGAATACTTCCAGAATATCAGTCCTTTACCCACGAATCCTACATAGATTAATAAAAGCAGTAAAGCAGAAAAAGAAGTATGTTAACTCCATTTCAAACTAGCCCATAATCTTTTCGAATAAACAGAAGAACCAGCTCTGACATACCTTCGGAAAGAGTTGGTTTGCTTTGGTGCTTGGACCGCTGGCCACAAGGGTGAAAGTTCAGTTGCTGCAGGACCGCAGGGCAGATGACAGAGAGGTTTGAGCTGGTTATCTGGGTAACATTTGAAAAGCCATGAAGGGAAAAGATCTCTTCAGCTGACAAACACTGAAATAAAAGAAACAAAGTAGACATACATGTGTTGATATAGTAAAGAGCTGAAGCAAGAGATGCTACAGAGACACCGAATGTTCCATCTAGACACCAGGCACTAATTCTTTATGTAATAACCCTCAACAGAAATGAACAGACCCCTAAAACTGTACAATAGCCCATACTCCCTTAAACCTAGAAACGAGAAAAATAGAAAAAAACTTTCTTGATCAACAGTCTACCTATACATTGCCAGCCTAAAAGTAAGAACTGGTCTGGGGATTTCCAAGGACTTTAGAACAACAGGCTTCTGATGATTCAATATTCTTAATTTTCCCTCCCTGCTTTCCTTTAGTTTGAATGCATATCTTGTGTGAGCTATTGGAGTGGCTCTCTGTAACATTTCTTGGAGACACACACCAGGCTCCCTCACAGTTTCACAGTTCAGGGATTCATCCATTCTCCTTGACAGCGATAATACAGCATAATCCCAACACATAAATGTTGTTTTCAAATATATCTTTGGTACAAGTGGTTGTTTGTCAAAACATGTATTATACTCAATGATAACAGGTAACTTTCTTATATTACACAAAGTTTTGAAAAGCGATGTGTGGTTTAGAAATTCACTAACTATTAATGAGAAATAAAATCGTCAGAAAAAATTCTCTGCAAAAAACAATAACTATTTAAAGGTATCATTTTACTTTGGGGCAAAATTTAGCTATAAACTACTTTGCACATACATTATTAAGAAGAGTATAAAAAATTAAATGTGTTACTATTGCTAATGAATGTTATAAGAATTATAGAGTATGAAAAATATCCATTCAGTCAAATAGACGAGTCTGTCTTTAATAAGTACAATTGAGAGCACTGCTTTGCATACTTCGGCCCATATTTAAACCCTGCTAAGACCTTAGCTTTGTATAATTCAGTGGACTTGATGGTGTCTTCCTAATGTTCATATATTGATGCCTTAAGCCCCAATGTGATGACTTTTGGGTATGGAGCCTTTATAAGGCACTGAGGGTTAGACAAAATCATGAGGGTGGGACCCTGCTCCAGTCAGATTCATGGGCTTATCTGAAGAGACACCAGAGAGCTTGCTTGCTCCCTCCCTCTCTCCACCATGTGAGAACAAAGCAAGAAAGCAGCCATCTGCAACCCCAGGAGAGAGCTCTGACCAGACACCAACCCTCTGCCACCTCCGCCAGTCTCTAGAACTGTGAGAAAATAAACTTCTGTTGTTTAAGCCACCCAGTCTATAGTATTTGTTATGGCAGCCCATGCTCGCTAATACACTATGAATGATACTAAAATCTCAAAAGTTTTTGTTAATTGTTTGACCATAAGTGCTGTCATTTTCTTCGCAACAAAAACAATGAAACTAAAAATGTAATATTTTGACAACTGGAGGTCACTGCTGATTTTGAAGGGGAGATGAAAACACATCAAATACACCCTGATGTTTGGAGTTGTCAAAAGCTAGCAGTACAATTACCATGAAGAAAATATACATTTAGACTTCTTTTAAATGTCTAAGTATGTGCCCACATTGTTTCTTATTCAACGGATGCATTCCTTTGGGTCCATGACAATGGCTGCTGTGTGCCATTCCTGGAAGAGGAGACAGTACACTCAATGCTTTGTTAACTGTCTTCCCTTCGGTGAGAATAGGGGATAATAAACTAATGAGGGAAGACAATAGCTTGATAGCCAACTGGGGGAGGGAGAGTGGGTATAGTTTATTCATTATCATGTAACCACACTGCAGCATAATTGCTAGGTTCAAAAATTACAGAGTCCATGTGGTCCAACTACCCACTGCATGATTCCAGGAATAAGTGGGTGTAGTAGTACAAACACAAAGCAGCACTGTGTGCCTACAAGAAGTCTTAAAGTACTTGGACTTCAAGTTCCTCCAACTATAAAATGAGAGGAACGGGGAGGCTGCTGATACGTAATTTACAAAGCCTTCTCAGAATTAATATTCTAACATGTCCTAAAATTTGATGTCGGTTAAACAGTTCTTTTCAGACTCCAGTTGTGACCTGTTAGTGGGTCAGGAAGTCCACTTACTGTCAGCATTTTGTAAGGAAGTAAAGAACAATGTAATAGAAACTCCAGAGTGTATCACACATAACTGGGATAACTACTGCTTAATCAAATTTTACAATAGCTATGCATTATACATACCATGTACATGTACATGGGATCACAATGCAAAGTTTATTTCATCTATTATTAATGTTTTAAAGATGTTATTTATTTATTTATTTATTTTTAGAGAAGGGAAGGGAGGAAGAGAGGAAGAGAAACATCAGTGTGTGGTTGCCTCTTGTGTGGCCCCTACTGGGGCCCTGGCCCGCAACCCAGGCATGTACCCTGACTGGGAATCAAACCAATGACCCTTAGGTTCACAAGCCAGCACTCAATCCACTGAGCCACACCAGCCAGGGCGCAAAGTTTATTTTTTACGAGCTGGGTGAAAAGGGTGAAGGGATTAGGAAGTAAAAATTGGCAGCTACAAAATAGTCATGGGGATGTAAAGTGCAGCATAAGGAATATAGTCAATAATTTTGTCATAACTATGTATGGTTCTGGGAGGTACTAGATTTATTAGAGGGATCACTTTGTAAGTTATGTAAATGTCTAACCACTATGCTGTACACGTGAAACTAACGTACTATTGAATATCAAGTGTAAGTGAAATTTTTAATTTTTTTAAATTTAAAAAAAGATTTACTGTAAATGCCATCAAATGTTTGAAAGCTACTACCCTAAGGATGCCAAAATTGTCTATTGTATATCTTAAAAGACACTCTCCTACATACAGTTAGGAAAAGAAAGATAACCAAGGGAATAAATCATCAATATTGCAAGGCAGCTTAGAGTCTCGCTGAGCTGTGCAGCGTGTGTGTGGACATTCCGCTTGGGCAGGTACTCATGGGTAATAACACTCTTACAGCGGCAGCAGCTCAATCTCAAGAAAGAGCAAGTAAGGTGGAGAAGAGACAAAACTCTAGACCTCGCCTCATGGCATGAGAATGGGGATAGAACATTAAGAGAATACTAACAATGTGGTAAAACAAACACTAATGGCAGGCCTGATTTATTTAACATAGCTATCTACCAGCAAGTAGAAGAAAAATTATACAGCAGCCACATTTTGCTTTTGAATAACCTTGGTTTTATTTTATTTTTTTTATTATCTTTTGCCTTCCTTCACCTGTTTCTCTGACTCTCTTACCCCCCACCTCGGGCAACCACCAATCTGCTCTACACATATATAAACTTGGTTTTGTTTTATACTCCACATATCAGCAAGATGCGGTATTTGTCTTTTTCTGTGATATTTCACTTATCATAACATGTGTTAAATCTTACCATGTTATTGCACATGGTGAGATTTCAGTCTTCACTGTGGCTGAGTACTATTCCATTGTGCATGTGTACCACATCTTCTTTATCCATTCATCCATCAGTAGACACTTAGGTCACTTCCATGTCTTGGTTGAAATGAACATGGGGTGCAGATACACTTCTGAGTGAGTGCTTTTGTTTTCTTCAGATAAATATCCAGAAGTAGAATTGCTGGATAATATTGTAGTTGTGTTTTTAACTCCTTGAGGAACCTCCACACTGTTTTCATAGTGGTTGCACCAGTCTGCATTCCTACCAACAGTTCACAAGTGTTCCTTTTTCTCTACAACCTCAACAGCACTTGTTGTTTCGTGCCTTTCTGATAATAGCCACTATGTGAGGTGATAGCTCATTGTGGCTTTGATTTGCATTTCCTGATGATTAACAATTTGAACACCCATTCATGTACCTGTTAGTCATCTGTATGTCTTCTTTGGAAAATGTCTACTCAGATCTTCTGCTCAGTTTTTAAGTAGATTGTTTGGTTCTTTTTGTTGCTGACTTGTATGAGTTTTTCTCCTGTGGAATAGGTTGCTTTTTTATTTTGGTGATGGAGTCCTTTGCTATGCATAAGCTCTTTGGTTTGATGTAGCTTCTTTCTTTTTTTAATTTTACTTATTATCTATTTATTTATTTATTTATTGCTGTCATTATATTTGCTTTTGGTCTCAGATTCAAAAAATTATTGCCAAGACCTATGTCAAAGGAACTTACTATCTAAGTTTTCTGATTTCAACTCTTAACATTAAAATATGTGACCCATTTTGAGTTAATTTTTGTATATGGTATAAGATAGTGGTCAAGCTTCACACTTTCGCATGTGGCTGTCCAGTTTTCCCAACACCATTCATTACAGAGAGTGTCCTTTCCCCATTGTATATTCTTGGCTCCTTTATCCTAAATTAATTCACTATATGCTCATGGTTTTATTGCTGGTGGAAGTGGGGTCATTGTGGTGTCACAAGGAAAGCTTTCCAGGAGACTCACAAGGGAGGATAAGGTCTGTTGATAAGATTTACTTGTGGCGCCAGGTACAAGATCAAAAGAGTTCTGCTGGGTTTCCATTGTCCCATCTCCATCTGTCCAGCCATGGACAAAGTTCCAATCTTGCCTTCATCAGGACAGAAATAGGACCAGTGTCCACAGCTTCTATGCCATGCCAAGGCTAGTCCATGTTAAAACTTTGTCCAGTCCAGCCTTTATCACCATCCAGCTAGCTTAGCTTGTTTTCTGGACTGCACCTTGGCTGGGGCCCATGTTTCCTGTCCACATGGCCACCAGAGCCCCAGGTGTCTGCTAGTCCCATTGGGCCACTATGTAGAGAATGCATGAACAATGAGGCAAGCAAGAAGGCTCTTTGTTAGCTGGGATTATGTTATATCACGCTTGGGAAAGACCAGACACTTTTTCAAAATAACCAATCAACTTTCTGAGTTTTTGCAGGCTTCTAATAGGTCCAACCCCTAACCAATCTATTCCTTACATCCTCTGAGGTTTTGTCTCTTATACAATCCAATCCCTGTTCCAGGCTAGACTGGCAGGCCTCTACGGTTGCCATTTTGGCTCCTACTGCATATGTGCTTACCTCC